CTAGTCTGCTCCCAGCGCATGAGTGCCAACCCCGCCCCTCCCCCTTTGCCTTCTTTACGCGCCGGCACCAAACAAATCGATGGAACTTTTCCCCCCCCCCCCCCCCCCAAGAGCCGTAACATAGGTCAGGGGAAGTGAGTCTCAGCTGATGGTACTGGCTCCCACTAGCTGAAGCACAAACGTACCGCTTAGTCATTTCACAAATGGCAGGAGCCGGGACTGCAAGGCAAGTGATGCGCTTGCTTTTTGCGGATCGTGGGTCCAGGTCCCGGATTTTCATGCGGAGAGTATTGAACCTTGCCATGCCAAGCAAGCATGCGAGCTTCGGTACCCAGTCCAGCAAGGTCTGGGCAAGCCACCATGCGCCTTCACGAGAAGATACGACATGATCGCTGCCTCGTAGCATTCTAGACAACGAGTACGGAAGCTAGCGGTGATGGAGAATGGCGATGTAGTACCCTCTTTCTCGGCAAGGGGCGTTTCCGCAGCTGCGCATCGGTGGCAACCGCACAGTATGCGATGGTTGCAAGCTCTCGCCCGCTCGCTATGGCCTGCACTTGCTTCTCGAATGGCGAGTGCTTCAACTCATACTCGTTGAGCAAGATTCAGTATCTGCAACAGCTAGACCGTTCTTCAACGCGCCGCTTCGGAGGCTTGGCATTTTCCTTCTGGACTCTGCGGTGACTATTGGACTGCCAACATTTCTCACCAGGAGCCGGAGACTACTTGTCTCCAAAGATCACTAGTATAGGCTCGGCCCTGCATATCGTAGTCATGACCATCGGCTGGTAGCTGTTTGGCCATGTTCTCTTAACTACATCGCCTTGGAGCGGCTGGCTTGGCTCGAAGCTGCAGGGGTAGATTACTATTTCGAGGACCGAGCTGTATCTTTCTAGTCGACGTGGCTTGCCGTGGCCTCGACTACGCTGTGCCCTGCTTCCGTGTTAGACGTGATCGACGAGGCTGAAGCCCTTAGGGTTTGTACACGACCGCTGTAGTAGACTGTTGCGGGATATAAGTATGTTCTAAACACCTTGTCTTTTCGTTCCTCACCAGTTCATAGTTG